CAGCAAGACTTTTTAGTGTATTAATATTCTGTAAAAAAAAGCACAAAAATAAATTGTTTTGTTCATCGTGTCTGTACACAAGAGGTATATAATACTTTCATATGTACAATATTTTAACATGTAACAGTCTTTTTTAAAGGTGCAGCAAATACACAGACACAGTTTTTGCTTATTTTGTTAAAATAAAAGCTCTATACTTTAATAAAAGCATTTATACAAATAATTACAAGGAGACTGACTGGTTCTGTACAGTACACCAAAAACCTTCAGCATTACAAATTTAACACGGATTCAAGAGAAGCCAGTTTATAGCAAATCTGCATTTTGGAACAACCACAAAACTGGCAAAAATTATCAACAACATCCAACATACAAAGACATTTACAAACATATATTCACCTCTTTCTGAACATAAGCAGCTGGACATCTTTATAGGTTCAGCTGTTGATTTAAATCCCATATTCCAGGGAGGAGAAGCGGAAAATGTAAGCAGCTGGAGATTAAGGTTGTGGCCCTGTGTCAGAGACTACAGCCAGCTTCACAACAGTCACTTCTAACACAACAGATTGGGCAGGCTTCCCAAACAGTACTCAGAAATGAATGGAAGTTGCACAGTCCTTGTGCCTGCAGAATGTCAGCTCTTGCACAAAAACATACACATGGGACTAAATAAACAGCTGAACCCAAGAAGAGAGTTTCAGATCACTGTTTTAGAAAAGCAGAGGCATTTGTGCTGTTTCCATCTCCTCCCAAAGTACTGATCTGTTCGGAAGGTACTCCAGGAGATGGGTTGCATGAACATGCACTACAAGAAAGAAGTGCATGGGAAAGTGTTGTGAGATACAAATATTTTTGATAGCAGCAAAAAAGCTTTAGAAAATTCATTTTTCAGAGGCACTTGATCAGCACTCTCAAAACAAAGGAGGAAGTGAAATGGGTTACTCATCAAAACAAGATATATTGGAAATGTAGAGATCTGTATGTACACTGATGATTTTGTTGGTTAAGCAAATTAACCAACGAAAGAAAGTCGAACACAGCAAAGAGAACCCTAATTGACGCCAGCCAAATTAAGCTTTCCCAAGGACTATATGAATTTTTAAACTTGTTTCTAATGTTTAACTGGATGTGCAATACTACCTTAAGTATGTCTACACAGAAGCTGAACTGAGTCCAGAATTTACTCCCTAGAAATGAGTTGAGAACTGCAATCTAAAACTGTAATTCCCTCACACGCTCATTTGGCAGTATATTCCATTGAACTCCATCAACTTGATATGCCTGAATTTCTCTGATATTTATTACAAATGAAATTATTATTGGCAAAAATGACATACTGTGAACGTAATGTAGCCAGAAGACAATCCTGTAAATTCATTCTCTGTGTGTAGCTGGAATACTTGTCAATACGCAAAGCCACAGAAAATCAATACATTCGCTATTTCAGCTCCCCTTTATTCTAGCTTCACTACCCACCTTGCAAAACACCAAATAAAAGTGTGTTCAGTATGGACATGGAATATGCACCTCAGGTGCAATTTACTGGGAAATAATGGTAAATTACATTGCATCTAAAATGTTTCTGTAGATGTGCTTAAAAATTTAGTGGTTATGGGATGTTGTTGTTGTTTAGTCGTTAAGTCGTGTTCGACTCTTTGTGACTCCATGGACCAGAGCACGCCAGGCCCTCCTGTCTTCCACTGCCTCCCGGGGTTTGGTCAAATTCATATTGGTAGCTTCGATGACACTGTCAATCATCTCGTTCTCAGTCTTCTCATGAGATGGCCAAAGTATTGGAGCCTCAGCGTCAGGATCTGTTCTTCCAGTGAGCACTCAGGGTTGATTTCCTTCAGAATGGATACATTTGATCTCCTTGCAGTCCAGGGGACTCTCAAGAGTCTCCTCCAGCGCCACAATTCAAAAGCATCAATTCTTTGGCAGTCAGCCTTCTTTATGGTCCAGCTCACTTCCATACATTGCTACTGGAAAAACCATAACTTTGACTATGCGGACCTTTGTTGTCAAGGTGATGTCTCTGTTTTTTAAGATGCTGTCATGGTTTGTCATCACTTTCCTCCCAAGAAGCAGGCGTCTTTGAATTTCATGGCTGCTGTCACCATCTGCAGTGATCACTGAGCCCAGGAAAGTAAAATCTGTCACTACCTCCATATCTTCCCCTTCTATTTCCCAGGAGGTGATGGGACCAGTGGCCATGATCTTAGTTTTTTTTTTATGTTGAGCTTCAGACCATTTTTGTGCTCTCCTCTTTCACCCTCATTATGAGGTTCTTTAATTCCTCCTCACTTTCTGCCATCAGAGTGGTATCATCTGCATATCTCAGGTTCTTGATAATTCTTCCAACAATCTTAATTCGGCTTGGGATTCCTCCAGTCCAGCCTTTCGCATTATGTATTCTGCATATCAGTTAAATAAGCAGGGAGACAATATACAGCCTCGTCGTACCCCTTTCCCAATTTTGAACCAATCAGTTGTTCCATATCCAGTTCTAACTGTTGTGTCCCATGTATAGGTTTCTCAGGAGTTAGATAAGGTGATCAGGCACTCCCATTTCTTTAAGGACTTGCCATAGTTTGCTGTGGTCCACACAGTCAAAGGCTCTTGCGTAGTCAATGAAGCAGATGTTTTTCTGGAACTCTCTGGCTTTCTCCATAATCCAGGGCATGTTAACATTTTGGTCTCTAGTTCCTCTGCCCCTTCGAAATCCAGCTTGTACTTCTGGGAGTTCTCGGTTCACATACTGAATTCTTATGGGATGCTGGATATTAATTAGGACCTACATAATAGGAAGGCACAGCATCAGGATCTTACTTGGTAAGTTGTAAAGAAAAGATTTAAAAGTTTCGAAGTACGAATAACCATACATTTCAAGGCTGGCAATCAAGATGGCATCTTCTGATTTCAGCAGGAAAGGAGGTCATTCTGTAACCCCACTTATTAATCTAAATTTTGTATTAAAAATTCTAATCAAGGCTTGTAGGTTGCTTGCAGTGAGTAAAAATGGTCTCCAAGAACCAGGAAGAAAAAGGTTATATACTGCTCATTAAACGGAAGAGGCTTTTCATCCTACAGATGACTAATATGAAAATGCCTGGTGCAAGTGGCGAAGTAAAATACTGTGGGCATAATTTTCTCATCTACGGTGGTCTTACTGTAATGGGTAAAAGCACCAATGAACAGAGTAAAATTTAAAAGCAGTCTTTCTGACCAGAGTAATAAACAGATATGGGGCAGAGGAATTCACCATTATTCTAGAAAGCAGCACACAGAGGCTAGTGCAAAAAACTACCCCCCCCCCCCCCAAATTCTGGACTGAACCAAGTAACTCCTTTCTTCCATTCTCATCTACACATTTGTGTGTGAATGTATTCATAGGCATGTTGTTTCTTAGACTGCTGGGACACAATCTCATGATAATTCATATTACTACCAAATGCAGAATATAGTGCATTCTGTATAGAACTCTCTTTAAGAAATCACATCCTCAATTGTTTTAGGAGGTGAACAGGAACTTTAAAATATATACAGATTCTATATATCATCCTTCATTATTCTAGTCCATGAATTTGTATTTAATAACAAAACATTTAAAGTCATTTTGAATTTTATCATTAAAATATGCAAATAAATGTATATGTATTTTCATATCTGGCAGTTCTATATTTGCAAATTCAGGAAATTTTATCCAGAATCCTAGGAAAGAAGGTATCTTGGAAAATAATAATATTCTCCCCTCATAAGCTACTGACTATCTTCAGCATCCTGTAGACCAGAGCTTGAAACATTACGTTTTAGAAATAACTTGTGTCACTTTTTTCTATGCAACCCATTACTGTTGCTCCTCTCAGGTAAGTAATTTGTTGTTCTGGGCATAAACAGTGCATTTGTTATCCTCAGGAAGGAAAAAAATGGGAAATACTCTCTGATTCCCTCTAATGGCCCATTTTGATATTGCACCTTGGAGATATTCCTCCCCTCCCCCCTAAAAATCCCTAGAATGAAAGAATACTTCTTTTGCCACTTAGGACTGATAAGAGAACAGATTAACACTTTAAAAAAATTTCCTGTCAACAGGAATGTCTTAAGATTACCCTCAATTTATTTGAAAATAAATAAGCTTTAACTTATTACACTTAGGTGTTATTAATAATACCCAAAACATAACTTTGTAGCTTCCAGTCACATTCTTACTCCAGAAATAACTAGTTGCAGCTAATTATGTCACTGGTAGCTAATTTCAAGCTCTGCCTTAGACACAGGAAGTGCATGGCCCTTCAAGTTGTTATGTATTCATACATTGTCACTGACTATTTTGGCTACTGCTGATAAGAGTTTCAGTCCCATCTGCAGTTATGAACGGTACACAAATCTGAAGTACTAATGCACACTTGTGCTAGGAAACCCTGAGTACATTTAGCAATATGGGCACTGAATCTGATGTATCAGTTGTTCCTTAATACATTTGGTATCAATGTATTCTAGAAGGCTTTCACGGCTGGGATACGATGGTTGTTTGTGGGAAGTTTTTAGTTGTTGTAGGTTTTTCAGGCTGTTTGGCCGTGTTCTGAGGGTTTTTTCTTCCTAATATCTCACCAGTCTCTGTGGCCAGCATCTTCAGAGGACAGGAGTCAGAACTCTGTCTGTGCTCTGGCAAAGACAAAGTTCTGACTCCTGTTCTCTGAAGATGCCGGCCACAGAGACTGGTGAGATGATGTTGTTTAGTCGTTTAGTCGTGTCCGACTCTTCGTGACCCCATGGACCAGAGCACGCCAGGCCCTCCTATCTTCCACTGCCTCCCGGAGTTGGGTCAAATTCATGTTGGTTGCTTCGGTGACACTGTCCACCCATCTCGTCCTCTGTCGTCCCCTTCTCCTCCTGCCTTCACACTTTCCCAACATCAGCATCTTTTCCAGGGAGTCTTCTCTTCTCATGAGATGGCCAAAGTATTGGAGACTCAGCTTCAGGATCTGTCCTTCCAGTGAGCACTCAGGCTTGATTTCCTTTAGAATGGATAAGTTCGCTCTCATTGCAGTCCAGGGGACTCTCAAAAGCCTCCTCCTCTTGAGTGTCCCCTCAGACGTTAGGAAGCAGCAACCCTCCGAACACGGCTAAACAGCACGGCCAAACATTTGGCATCCTTGATTTCTGACAGCTCATATCTGCATGTTGCCCACTGTACAGATTGCCAATCAAGGCTCTCTTTCTGCTAGAAACCACAGCCCACCAGTTACATTTACAAATGAATGAATGAAATTTCAATCAAATTATCCTGAGTTTTCTGAGGCAGTTTTGGGCATTTATATAAAAAAAGGAAATTAATAGGATTTGAAGTTTAATCCTAAGGTGTCTGGCTCTTCTTCTGTGGAATATTCAAAGATGACTGGACAGTCTGAAGAAGGAAAATAACTAACAACAGATCCAATTACAGTGCAGTGAGGCTTCATGTGGGGAATCCAAAGTCAATCTTCACCACCACCTTCTTGGCACACCTATTTCAGCAGCAGTGACAAATGAATAGATAGCTACGTTACAGGGTCAGACTAGTCGTCCATCTCACCCATTCAATGCTGATTGGTGGCAGCAGCTCTTCGTGGTCTTGGACAGAAGTGTTATCACCCAAAATCCACTAACTCACAATCCATTGAGCTGAAGACACCAGAAATAGAATTTGAGCCCTTGTACAAGCAAAATCATTGTTTGACCACTGAGTTATGGGCACCAATAACTCAAGTCTCACCAAGAACAGGTGTTCCAAACAGTATAATATGTACAAAAACATGAAAAATGAAGGTCTGGTTCTGAGACTGAATTAATGCTAGCTAAGCAATTGCCAGTGTCTGAAAAACAGGTATTTAAAATAGCTGCTCTTCCTAGGGAAACTGCTCACGGATTGACTACCAGACTTTCATGGACACCTACCTGCTGTGAAAATAAATGCTCTTATGGTGGGGGGGAGGAAAAACATATATTGGTTGTCCCTATCTAAACAAACGAAGATTATCCACAAATGTCTTACCAAAAAATGTGGAGATGGGAGGAGGATGTATCCATAGTAAACAGCCTGGATTCTTGAAATTACATATGAAAACTGTTGAAGTCACTTGTGTCTATTGACACAGTTCTTTCTTTCTGATGTGGATGCCAAGGCCCTAAGGCTTGTTATCACAATTCCTGGCAAACACAGGGCAAGGTGGCTTGAACTGAAGGAAAACTGAATTCTGTTCCAGAGTTAAGTATGGAAACACCTATTTATAAATAAAAAGATTAATAAAATCTCAGCTTTCTTTGAAAAAATATAAATTTCAAAATCATACTTCTTTTAAAATCCATCAGTTCAACTCAGTCTGGGCTAGCAAGGCAAGAGAAGAGGGAAGCTAAGAGGGCTGGAGGCTCTCACGCCACAGGCAGACGAGAGAAACATGTCCTCAGGGTCTGAGATTCCAGCTTCGACCACAGGCCTTTACTAGACCTCTCCGTCTTCATCAGAGCTACTGCTACTGCTGCCCCCACTGGTGCTTCCGCTGCCACTGCTTTCCTCATGCTGAGCCTGTCTCCGAGCTGCCGCCGCCGCTGCTGCCGCTGCTGCCGCCTCTTCTCTTTCTCGCTGCTTCAGGGCAGCTGCCTTCTTCTCCTGTTCAGCGTGGCTCTTCATGTGAGCACTGCGGCTTTTCACCTTGTAGAAGATTCTGCAGCAAAACACGCCCATAACACAAGAAGACAATTATGTTATAGTATCGACCATTCAAAACAAACAAACAAGAAAACCCCACTGGGCATAGCCAAAGTCACTTTAGCTGGTTCTCTGGATCCCACCAGCGATCTAATGCAGAGTTGGTGGTGAAGTGCCGCCTGTGGGCGGCATGTGGTCCACCTATAATTCCCTCCCAGCCAGTATTAGAAACTGTACTCCGAAAAGCTTCATGTGGGAAACTAATTTGCCATACAAACAGAATTTTGCCCCTCCTGGGCCTTGGTTTAAGCCTTTAAAATATTTTGTTTCTTTTTCTAAGAAACAAGAAGTCACTTTCTTTTTCTAAAAAGGGCTTTTAGAACCTCAAACAGGCTCTGGTTGAAAACTTGTTGAAATCTGGATGAAATCTTGCTAACCTCAGGGGCTTCTGGTGGCAGGAAACGCAATGAAGAGGGAAGAGAAAACTTGGGAGGAGAAGTGGTCATAACTGATCAGATAGGTGGGATATACAAACAAACAAACAAACAAACAAACAATAAATAAATAAATAAGTAAATAAACAAGCAAGCACAAAATATAGCAGTTAGTCTTGGAGATACTGCCGGTACCTGGGATGGTGGATTGAGGAAGTGGACTTGTCCACAAAAGCTCACAAAATATAGCAGTTAGTCTTTAATGTGCCACCATGTTTTTGTCTTCCTTGTTTTATTTTATTATTATTTTTCCCTGACAGACTTTTCAAGGTCATTCATACAGTTTCTTTGAAAACAACCACAGAAACAAAGAAGTCAGAAAGCTATTGAGCGTGCGCTTCTTTCTCAGTCTCTTCAAGGAAAAGGAATGCAGTACAAACAGCAAAGAATTTTGACCAGTGACAGAAAGTTCTGTTTTCACCATCTTAAGTGTCACTATCCCCACATATAAACATCCCGGACAGAGATTTCATTTTTCTCATTTCACCATTTAATACACCTGCTGAAACTCACTGTTTACTGGGTTTTAGGCCGAGTTTGGAAGAGAAGTTATGTCTGTCACTTAATGATCCCTCCAGGCCACAAATATTCCCAGTTTCACTCGAGATGACTGGGCAAGACACACAGTTATATGCAAACTGACGCCCTGTTTAACAATAAGCCTATTTCTTTAGTCCTGAATTCAAAAAATGTATGAGCACTGTAGAAATACACCGATCGGCATACTCAACTCAAGCCAAATAAAATTAATCAAAGCGATACCATCTATTTGTAGAGAAAGTGTCGCTGGGCAGAATCCCAACACTTATATATGCCATCATAAGCACAATGGCATAAATCTCAGTAGTGTATTGTCACTAGTTAACAAGTCACCACTTGTATTCTTCATTGTGCACCAGTCACACGAAATGTTTACTCTTTAAACTAACTGCAACCACCCAGTGAGATTTATGCCATTACACTTATCCTGACATATATACGCTATGGGATTCTGGCCATAGTGTTATAATGTCAACACTGATAAAATGCTTTGGTTGCTTTTCCTGTAGGGATACATTCCCACAACACTGTATAGTGGGTTTTTTTTAAAAGTCACTTCCAGCATGGAAAAACAGCATACAAATTAAAATTGATAATGATGATGACAAACTGTTATCTGCAGCTACTGTAAAAATAATTAAATCAAATGTTTGTTGTGGGTTTTTCAGGCTCTTTGGCTGTTTTCTGAAGGTTGTTCTCCCTAACGTTTCGCCACTCCGTGGCCGGCCTCTTCAGAGGACAGGACTCTGTGCTCTGGTGTAGTAATTTGCTCCCAGCTGTGAAAGCCTTCGCGAATACAATTAAATCAAAATTTTATTGAAATACTTATTCAAGATGTCCCCGAAATGTATTTCCACCTTTACAGGAATCCTTCAGTTTCTATTAGTAAAATGCAGACAACTTCTGAGATGGGACACAGAAAATTTGCAGCATGATGAATAGAGAAACTAAGGAATACCTTTCTGTTACTCTAGACAGCTATTTTTACTACTGGGAGAAGGCAACTGCTTGAGCTATTAGCACAGTTAAGTAAAAGAAAAAAGGGGTGAAGACAAACACTTTCTCGATGCTGTACCACATTCACTGTGTAGAAGGAACATGTACAGTTAATTAAAAGAGAGTCCTCCTCCTCTTACCTGCCACACTTTTTACATGGAAATTCCTCTTCTTGGTTCTGTGCTTTGTTAGCAGTTTCTTGCTTGGGTTTTGGCTTTCTTCTCTGCTTCTGTGCCGGTGGAGAAGTTTTCCGATATTTAATGGGTGTCTCCTTTGTCCTCTTTGAGGCTCTGCCTCGGCCTTCTGCCTCTTTCGGAGGGCCAAGCTCCTGGCGCCTCTCCAGAGTGTGACTGACCACCTTCCGAAGAGGAAACAACCGTCACAAGGGAACAGATGTTGAACAATCCCCAGAAATGTGGATTTGTCATCATCAAGAACAACAAAAGAACTTATATCAAAAGTATGCAAAATGAAACATTAATGAACTCAAAGAGTAGAGAGGGACAAAACACATCTGCTTTGGCCATTTTTCTGCTGCCAAGATATCCCTTGAACTTGTACCACTCAATTCCACCAGTGAACTATGTTGTCGAATTTTGTCGCTAATTGCAAAAATCTCATTTAAAACAGGAAAAAATGTTGCTTTTTACTGGCTTTTCTCAGTTACATGCCAAAATCTGAAGGATTAATTTGCTGTTGGATTCTGAAGGCATGATCATTGTTACTGGCAGTGTGGCCTGAGGTGGGTGAAAAATTGGTCTTTTGAGGCACCAAAGTTGTCCACCCCTGTAATAAATACTGGAGTAAAATATGTAGCTTTTAAGTTAGTAAATCTGAACTGAGTATGTATTTAGCATATGGGTATGTGGGATAAGATGCTACTTACCTGTAACTCTCTGGTTCTTCGAGTGGTCCTCTGTGAAGTCACACTAATGGGTTAATCTGTGCTCAAGCAGAGCAGTTTCAGAAACTTCCACAGCTTTAAGCACTTGGTGCCGGCACTTCCCCTACACCTGGCTATATAACTCCACCCCCAGCACCTACCCCTAAGTTCCAAAGAACCGACCGCCGCTGCCCAACCCGCCATGGCACATGTGATGGACAGTGGGGAGGAGGGCAGGACGAGTGAATTCCCAGAGGACCACTCAAAGAACCAGAGTTACAGATAAGTAACCTCTTTTCTCCTTCGTGGTCTCTGTGAATACACACTAATGGGTGACTGGCAAGTTGACTAACCAGGAGGAGGGACATCACGAAAGTACAGAAGCCAGGACAGCTCGAGCTACCACAGCCTGAACCTTGGGCTGAACATCCAGGTGGTAGTGAGATGAAGGTAGACGGAGTGGCACATATGGCAGTATGGCAGACATCCGCGATATCCACTCCATGGAGAAAGGCCATTGAGGATGTTACTGCTCTAGTAGAGTGAGCTCTCAGGGATTTCGGAAGAGGAGTCTTTGCCAAGTTATAGGCAAGATGGATGGCCTGGACTAACCATCTAGAGATGGTCCGAGAGGAAGCTAGTGCTCAGAAGGAGGAGCCAGCAAAGGTGACAAGGAGACACTGTGAGGCACGAAAAGTGGTTGTGTGATGCACATCATATGACAGAGCATGCTTCCCAACTAGAGCGTGCAGCGCTGTCTCACGTGGAGAAGATGGAGCGGGAAAGAAGACAGGAAAGACAGCTGGCTGGTTCAAATGGAAGGCAGAAAATACCTTAGGGAAGAAGGTAAGGTCTGGCCATAAGGTTACTTTGCAGAAAAGAGGATCTGCTCTTAGTGTAGCCAGTCCACCAGCCCTGCAAGCTAAGGAGAAAGGCAGTCTTGAGGGCTAGCAAGTAGAGCGATGCTGACGCCAAGGGCTTGAAGGGAGGCCTCATAAGCTGTCAAAGTAGTAACTGGAGAGACCACTGAGGTATTAGGCAGGGCGCATATTCTCCAGGCCTCAGAGAAATAGCTTGCTGGTAGAATGAACCAGTCCCAGGTGAAACAGGTGAAGGGGAAACTGAAGGAATGCGTCCAGAGACATTGGCCTAGTAGGCAAATGTTGTCTTGATGTAAAGTGGCAGAACGCCTACCCATTAAAGGAGTAGGTCAAGGTGGTAGAAGGTTTGTGAGCATGATTGAGCATGTCTGTTACTGTCGGGGAAGACTCCAAGCCGACAGGTAGAGGGACACAAGGCCCGGATGAAACATCCGACCTTTGTCCCAAGATAGTAGGTGAGGGACCAGCTGCAACCTGATGTATTCTGCAGCTCATGGGAGCAGGATCAAGAACCATGGCTAGCAAGCATGACGTTTGCACACTCATGTAGGACTCGAACAGCATTCCTTTGAAGAAGGGGGAAAGGTGGAAACCTGTAAAAGAGGCCCTGTGACCAATTCATCAGGAAGCGTCCCCTAGGGAGTTACGGTTGATGCCGGTTCAGGAGCAGCACATGGCACACATCTAGTTTGTCCATGATGCGAAAACGTCTATGTCTGGAGTTTCCCATCAATGACAGAGGAGGCGAAAGATGGCATCGTCAAGAGCCTGCTTGTGAGGACAGGACTCTAGTCTGCTGAGATGGTCTGCTAAGGAATTGTTCCTGCCTGTGAAACGTACAGCCACTGGATAAATGTGGCAAGCATAACACCATTCTGAAAGGTCAATGGTGCAAAAGAAAAGGTGTAACGAATGAGCACCACCCTGCTTGTTTATATAATAAACAGCAGTGGTATCACCTGATGCGACCTGGACCACCCGACCCCGGAGTAGGGGCTAAGAAGCCCAAAAGGCCTTGGTGTTTGCCAGGAGCTCCAGCACTTGACATGAAGGCCAGCTACCAGCGGCCAAGGGCAATATAGTGGCACAGGCAAGCCTGCCCGCCCGGGCTTGGCATCCACCACGGACTGAACCAACCGGGTCAAGAGGCAAAAGAGTCTCCCTAAGTGTAGGTTGGGGGGGAAATCCCCACCAGCCCAGTTATGGAGCGAGTTTTGGAGTCATCTGGAGCAATGTGGATGGGTGGTTGCAAGATATCTGAAAAAGTGAGAGAAACCAGGCTTGAAGGGACCGCATCCTCAGCTGAGCATGCTGTGCCACAGCTGTGGTAGATGCCATCAGCCCCAGGAGTCACTGGACTTGTAGGACAGGGAAGCAAGAGCCTGGAGGGAAAAAAAGGAGCATAAGAAATCAAGCAATTTCACAGACTTGTCATCAGGGAAGAAAACCCTGCTTCAAGAAAGCATCCCAAGTCTCATTAATACAATATACACACCGTGTAGGTTGAAAAGTCGACTTTTCTATGTTGACCTTCAGTCCTAATGCTGACAAAGGGATAGTGTCAAGGAGGTGTGTCTACCAATTTGTGACTTGGACTCAGTGGCCAGGAGCCAGTTATCCAGCTACAGGTAAACAGCGATTCCCCCTGCTGAAAGACTGAGAAAATGTTGATGGCCTGACCGGATACCATCATGAAAACAAGCATCCAACCAACTCTCTGGACGTAACATGTGAATAACAGAGTCCAAGAAAGCCATACGGAATCTACGTAGCGTAATAAAAGAATTCAGGCCTTCCAAATCAAAGATGGGCCAGAGGCCTCTGTCTTTTTTTTTTTAAGGGGGTGGTGATGGTGGCCGTAATGTGGCCTAGGACAGTGGGGTATACTGAATTCAATAGCATAGCTGGTAGCTATGATAGAGAGCACCCAAGTATTAAACATGAAGGAACACCAATCGGAAAAAGGAGGGGCCAGATGGCCTGACTGGTCAATGACAGAGAAGTCAGGTGCAGTAAAGAGACCCCTCGGTTTTGCGGTCCTGCCTGCAGATCTGCTGGTCAGGGCTCTGCCTGCCCACACGTCTAGGGGTGGCGGCTAGCTGGTAACTTAGGGGGTTGAGGCCTTTGACATTCCCGGTATGCCCTAGGCTGGTAGGAGCATCACCAGGTTCTTGCAGTTGTTACACAGCAAATGACCGTGCCGCCTTCGGGAGCTTGGGCAGGTTATCAAGAATAACATCAGTTTTCTAACTAAAAGCCGCACACCAACAAACCGCAGGTCCTCAACCCTCAGTCGTTTGGATGCTGGTTTAAGGTATGTCGAGCAGCAATGCGCTTGTGACACGTCCACCCCCTTGCCTCGTAGTGACATGGGAGGCTGCAGGAGTTGCACAGAAGGTGCACAGGAGTTACCTGCAGAATTGGCAATGTCAAATTCAGTAAGTGGCAATGATAAGCACCCATAGCAGAGGAGTAGTTGGCTACATGGCGGCCAGAAAATAAAAACACCAACCAAAGAACTCCTTATCTTTTAATGGTAAAGGAGGGTGACTTACTACAGCAGCTGATATGGGAGTAGGAAGATTGGTTGGATGTCTTTCTCCCCTTCTGACTCTTGTGAGTCCCAGCTAAATAAGAGAAGTCCTTCTGATGATTAGGGGAGCAGTCTTTCTTAGTATGAGCCTGACTAAACTCAGTCTCAATACAGTTGCGAGGACAGAGAAGGCTGAAACGGTTAACAGCGGGTTAGGGCGAACCCGCAGACACTTTGCTGCCAGAGCCGAGTTTGAGGGAGCATTACACTTTTGAGGCATAGATGGAGGCGCAAAGTACTTCTTAGCCCGTGGCTCAGAACAGTGCCAGGTGGAGTGGGGCACCGGTGGTGGCAGAAAAGGTGGCGGAAAAGGCTCATAGCTCCTGTACCAGATAAAAAGGACTGGTCCAGCATGAACTTGTCGGCACAATAGGACCCTCCTGAGGAAAATTACTCGGGTCTACCTGACAGTAGCAGGGTTTTAGGGTTGACTCTTATAAGTGCTTTCCTTATGAGCCTATGCGGGCGCTGGCAGCTGAAATGGGACTGTGGGCTACTGTGTGAACAAGCCCATTGATAAAGAGGGCTGTTTTGGGCCACATTATGAGCCACCAAACAAGTGCTACCTCAGACAGGAATATCACTGACTAGCAGGGCTAGCAGTGGGAGCTGCAGGCCCCCCGTTTTTTTTAAAAGGCAAAGCTAGGAAGAAGAAACAACTTGCTATTTAGAAGAATGAACAAGGGAGACCAAGAAAGAAAAGATAAGAAATAGAATTTGTTTTTACTTGCAAAGTCAGAGCTGCTACTACAGCGGCAATGGAGAAAAGAACTGAGGCACTAATGCCGGGGGTAGAGTTATATAGCCAGGTGTAGGGGAGGTCCCGGCACCAAGTGCTTAAAGCTGTGGAAGTTTCCGAGACTGCTCTGCTTGAGTGCAGATTAACCCATTAGTGTGTATTCACAGAGACCATGAAGGAGAATCTTAAAATATCATAGGTAAGCTACTGTAAGTTTAAAGTTAGATTGTTATTATGAGTTCCATGTGGTGCTTGTTTTGAAAACAGTTAAAGCTTGAGCTGAAGTGTTTTTTGAAGGCCTGGGAGAAACATACAATACAACATACACAGTTGCACCCATTTCTTGAGAGGTCTGATCTGGTTATGGTGATATATCTCTGCTGGATTACTGTAATGACCTCTACATGGGGCTGCCCTTGGAAAGTGTTCTGAAACTCCAGCAGATGCAAAATGCCGCATCCAGATTGTTAACTGGAGTTGGTTGCAGGGAACATATAATTCCCCTTTTACAGTAGCTCCACTCACTGCTGATCTGTTTCCAGAGTAGACTATGTCTAGATGGGTGGCATATAAATGCAATAAATAAATAAATAAATAAATTCAAAGTGCTTGTTTTAACCTAAATGGCCTGGGTCCAAGCTATCTCAAAGACCATATCTCCCATTATGAGTCAGCTCAGGTGTCAAGATCATTAGAGGAGGCCCTTCTCTTGGTTCCACCAGCTTCATAGGTGCATTTGGTGGGGACATGAGAGAGGACTTGTTGCACCCAGACTTTGGAATTCTTTCCTACAGGAGGCCAGACTGGCCCCACCTTTGCTGTCCTTCTGCAGGCAGGCAAAGACCTTTCTCTTCACGCAAGCTTTCCCTTCGTGACTGGCTGTCTGAGAGAGAATTGTTGTGCTTTGTTGCTTTTAAATGTGTTTTTAGTATTGATTTTATCTACCATTTTTAATATAATACCATTTAATTCTTTTTAAATATCTGTATACTTACTGTTTTCAGCTTTTAAATATTATCTTTTTAATGATGTAAACTGCCTTGGGTCCTTTTAAGGAGAAAGGCAAAGTAAAAATATTTTAAAGAAATAAAATAAATAAATACTCCTGCTGGCCTTCCTTTATTCACTTCTGGTCACCCACCACGAAGCTAATTTTGACCTCTGGAATTTTAAAACACAGGAACCCCAATCCAGAGGCTCTCTCCTCCTGTAATTGTTCCACACTGACCAGAATCCATTTCATCCCAGCATAATACAGAGTCATGCTGGTGCAATCTTTCCAGGCATTATGCTGAGGCAGTTACAAAAATCTAAGAGCCTTGCTGGAGTAGGCCAATACCTGCCCAGTCCAACAATCTGTTCACACAGTGACCAACCAAATACACTGAGGAGAAGCCCACCAGTAGGATGTGAGAGAAGTACTACCGCCCTATCCAATCATAGAAGGGTAGGCCCACCGAATCAGTGCAATTTGGAGAGTGAACTCCTCCACAAGTCCCATCCATTCAAATGACCCCACCCAATTGCAACTTATGTTAACATAATAAGTCAGAAGTAGAGTAGGCCCATTTGAATCAATGGCACTTATGGAAAAGTTAACTCACCAAACCACCACTGATTCAATGGGCCTACTCAAGTTGCAGCAGCTTACAACATTAAGCATCAGGGGTTCAAGCCACTGTGCGGTAGCAAATTCCCCAGTTTTGTTATGTACTGTATTCTTGGCTATTCTGGATCTACCTTTGTTCAGCTTCAGTGGGTGGTCCTGTGTTCTACTCCTTTGAGAGAAAGAGAGAGTTCCTGTCCATTTTCACCAACCAAATGCATAATCCGCCACATCTCCCTTTACCCACCGTTTAATACACTGAATTCTACAATCATTTCTCACAAGGGGGATCTTAATCATATGGTTTGCTCTTTCCTTGACCTTTTCTGGTCTACTGTATCCATTTTCAGCACTCTAGGCTAAACGGTACACAATATTCCAAGTGTGGTCACACCACAGATTTGTAAAGGGGCAGGACGATACTGTTGGTTCTATTTTCAGTTCCTTTTCTCATTATGCCCATCATGAAATATGTCGTTTTTACAGAAACCACAATCTGGGGAAATATTTCCATCAAGCTACCCAATGTAATCCCAAAATGAATTGGGCAGAAAGCTCTTGGAGCATAAATTACAGACCATGAAACACCTAACACTTACCTGGTCCTCAAGGCTTAGAGCCGGTGAGGGTTTGGGAAGTGTTGTGTTGCTGCTCTTGCCGTGCAACTCATCCCCTTCCACCACTTCCTCTTTTATAACCAGTTCATTCTCTACATCTGCTTCATCTTCATCATCAGTGTTTTCATAATCTTCATTGTATGTTCTGGGAGGAAGAGTCCGTGTAAGCCTATGAGAGCTCTTTATAAGGATAAGAAAAGGAACACAAATTAGTAGATGCATGTTGTCTTGTATGGTTTTAATTCAAGATATTAGAAGTATCTGTATGAGCCCAATGGGGCCAGGCGAGCACTGCTTCAACAGCTTCTGTTCACAAACTATAACTTTCCAATTTTCATCAATTGTTAATCTGTTAAACAGAAATGGCCACTTCCGACTTAAGGTTCTACTACCTTTCGTGCAGTTTTAGCCTTATCCAACATAAATGTTTTATTAGCATAATAAAAGCCTCCAGGATGTTACCTTTATGTCTACTTCAGTTTCATCTTTCGCAGCTCTTTCACCAGTTGCATCAACATCCCCAAAAATTAAGGTCCCATTCCGTCCTATCTTGACTTGCTTTTTGTATGTATAATAGAACTCCACACACTGAGCCACAGTCTTGGTTTTAATCTGGAATACAGGGAAGGGAACAGAGAGGAAGAAGAAAAATAGGAGAAGGAAAGAGAAGTCAATTACATTCCTGTCTGGCACAGTAAACTCACATGCAAGGGGGAAAAATACAGACCACAATCATGAGAACTTTTCTCAAGGTGTATGACTCTGATGGCCCACATCAGGAGTGGGGAACCATCTTCAGCCTGGAAGCTGCATTCCAGTTCAGGAGGGCTGGGGGGCTGCACCAGGTAGGGTGCAAGATACTGGGTTGAGCCCAAAATCTGGGAAGGACCAGATTCTTACCTCTTGCCATTTTTTATAATTTTGGACATTTACCAGGCAAGAACCCAAAGCACAGTTCAACTGCATACCCAACAGCACAGCAGCTTTTAATCAGCCTCTTATCTCTATTTAAAAGTAACCACAGAAGAAGCCTGCAGCCAAATGGGGCATCTTAAAGGATGCATCTGATTCACAGATCGAAAGTCTACCTGGCACAATGTCACTTACACTGCTCTTGGGTTTTGAGGAACACCTTGTCGTATGGAAGAGGGAACCACTGCTGTATAGGAACCAGAGGAGATGGTTTTGGTGGCTCCTTCAGCCCTACATGGCAATTCAGTTTCCAAGAGTGTGGTTGCAGTTTGATGCATTCTTTGATCAAGATAAGCCACAACTTAAATAACTATATAAAATGCACTTTATAATGTTGCTTTTAATTCTGATCCACTCCAGTGGGCTGAGGAAGCTAATAATGGGGGAAACTTTCAACAAGAAAACAGTACAATTTTTTCAGGTTTCTCCCCAGGGTAGTGGTAGTGAAGAAATAAAAAAGGAGTACAAGCAGCTAGGATTCAAACAATCTCCCAAGGGGATTCCCTCGGCTACTTCCTTATCACCAGTCTTTGCCATGTGACATGTAAAGACACACTAAGAACAAGGTCAGTTAGCAGCAGATTCCACTTCCAAGGACCGCTTCATCTCTGTTAAGACTAGAGGCACCTCCAGAAAAGCTAAATTATCTTGTCACAGGTAAAAAATTATGTTGTGACTTTATGACGCCATGCCAGACACCACAGTAAAATGACATTTTCTCCACTGCACTACTTACCTGGCACTCTGTTCAAACTCTTCCTATATGAGTTGAGGACCTAGTGATTTTTTTCACCCCTTCACAAAAGGAAGAGAGAATGGGCTGTACCCAAAAAGCAGATTTAAAATATGTGATCCTAAAAAGCTAGGATAGAATTGTTCAATCTAAGACACTAGATAGGTGGGATATAAATAAAATAAATAAATAAATAAATAAATAAAACTACACTTCAATTTAACACTTGCAATAGTATGTAGTGAAAGTGCTCCACTCCAGCAGGCAGTAACCCTAAAGTCAATTAGTCAGCAATATATGTATGAGTCCTGGAATGGTAGATCAACTCTTTTGAAATGCACGCCACAATTAACAACTTACAAGTTTCTGAACCAAGAAGAAGTCTTTCTTGTAGATGGCAATTCCCTTATTGAAGAGTTTCTTTTCAAGCACACTCCATCTATCAGACCCTGAAAAGAAAGATGAGCCACAACTCCATTACATCTCTTTTTATTCTTCCTAAAAATTGAACTTTTTTTTTTACTAAGGGAGTAACGAACATCTGATATTTTATCTTAACTGTACTTGATGTTATCCTTCTTGTATTACATCTGGTTTTCTCATGGATAGAGGTGGGGTGAACACTTTTGCTTGCTTATGTCTGTTGTACCTCTTTCCCCTTAAAACTGTGTAAAGGAAGTATATACTGCTGCCTTTGAATTTCTAAAATAAAAATAATTATGTGCTGTCAAACTGATTTCAACTTATGGCCCCCATTTCCAGGGTATTCTAGCAATATAGTACTCAGAAGCAGCCCACCATTCCTTCCTTTTGTGGGTGCTCTGGGATCCTGCAGCCTGTCCAAGCCCATACAGGCTGGCTCTTCTCTTACAAGACATAGTGAAGAAACGAACTTCTGACTTTCGGCTCAACCACCTCTGGCTCACTAAACTTCTTTTTACTTTTTAACAAAACTAACACTTGAAAGATAATATTTAAATGGTCAAGGGTGCTAAAAACTGTACATCCGTTGACACTTGTCACCCGTGAAGCTGTGAAAAATAACTTCAGACATTTGCCATTAATAGGGTGATGTGTTTTACCCACTCCATTCCTGACGTAAATATGTCAGGTATGAATTGTCCCAACTTATCTTATTATTTATATTATTGGGTTACCTCTTTCTGTCTCTATGTCCTATACTAGGAGAAAAAAAAACCTTATGTTTTTCAATAAACCGTGATAGAAAGGACAAGCAATTTGCTCTGATTTGCAGCAGGTGACCCCATTCAAGAGAAAAACACTTTTCTTCCAGTGAAGGGATGTCTGAATTGATTAGAATTATTGTACCCCACGATACAAGAAGAGCAGATCTTATATCTGATTTGATCTTATTTTGCTTCCATTCTGTCTAGAATTTTCAGATCCTTGGTGGAACATACTTGATTCTGCTCAAAGAGCCTTCAGATATGTTTTTGTCAAAAAGCAGCCCACAATTCCCTATCAGAAACTGAGAGACATTCCAAATGTTGCTATAATATAAGGGCCAACTGTTCAAAAGGAGGACTTCCAACTGTGTTTGAATCAGCACACTTTCCCCCTACATTGTATTAAACCTCAGTGGAATGTATTCTTCACTCTTGTAGTTAACCTAAACAGGAGATGTTCTTAGGAAAAAGCTCAATAATTTTCCATATCCCCAAAGCCATGTTTAGCTCATAAAATATTTTGATCCTATTTTTAACACAGGAAGTTCTTAGCTATAGATAAACCTGATAATGCATCAATTTGCTCTCAAGTGCAGCAAGATACAGGTACATGTGATCCCAAATGCATCTTTCCTCTGATCAAGAAGAAGCAAATAATACCTACACAGTAATTCATTTGCATTTTACAAAGGACTCTGCTTCTTTTATTGAATGTCCAGATTCATCAAACTCGCAAGTGTCTACAAATGTCACCTGACATACAAAAGGGTATTTTTAGTATCATTTCTAAAAGCAGACCTTATTGAAGTAAGCCATGTGCTAAGTACAAGTTGTCATAGATACTCCAGAATCCAGATGCATTTTGGTTCCACAGGGAAGAAGTATCATGTACAAAGAAGCAATGAATTAATTGAAACATTGCTTGGTAACATTGTCTATTTTTAGTATCTTCACACATCAAACTGGTTTTTGATCACCCTGCCATCCAAAATGTCCACCAAGGCAGTTGTTATCAACCTTTAGTCCTCCAGATGTTTTAGACTTCCAACTCCCAGGAGCCACAATCCACACGCTATAATGTCAGAGATTAGGGGAGATGAAGTCCTGAACACCTAGAGCAGCAGTAGTTGAGAACTGCGGCATGATTGAGCTGAACAAGATGCTACCATCACCCTTCTCTTCCACATGGAGACAAGTATCAGGCTCGCCACGATTCCTTCTTGCAGCTTTGAATGTACAAAAAGCACCTGGGCAAAGAGACAAAGTTCCTAGGACTAATGTTGGCAGGAGGGGAAGTGACTTGCCTGTTCCTCCTTCCTTTTTCAGTCTCCTCTGCATTACATCAACAGGAGGGTCTATTGAAGGTTCCAATCAATAGATTAACTAATCAATAGGTTAATTCTCTCTCTGATCCTTTAAATATAATTTCTGAAAACCAGCTGCACAGCTCCATATGTAAAACAGGAATGAGATCACCAGCAGTGGCAAATCACTGCAAATTAAACTGCTGTTCCTTAAATGAGATTTTGAGGTGCATGTGACTCATATACAAGGCAGCAAAGCCACATGCACCCCGGGATCCCCAGAGGATCTCTTTAATCAGTAGTATTTTTCCCCTGCTGATGACATCATCACCACTGTGCACACATGGAGCTGTGCAACAGGATTTTAGCCAAGATGTTGAATATCCTGGGTCAAGAGAAAGCCCATGCTCAAAATACACATGGATCCCCTCAATTACACAGCACAAATCTAAATGTAGTGAGAGGAGGAAAAACGCGTGGAATTGGTGCTTGCTCCCATCTCAGCAGGCATGGAGAACAAAATAGGACAGTTACAGCAGAATTGCTACCAACACATGAGCATAAAGGCGCACTTCCAAAATATTTAAGTATCTCTCAGGCTGGGACAGCAGGTAGAAACCCACTTCTGCCCACCCAATTAAAGAGCACAGCCAAAAAAGGAGGCAAGAGCAGCAGTCATGCCCACTACCTTGTTGCCAGCCTACCTGTGTAGTGATAGTCTGCGAGGGGGTGCTTTGGAGGGCGCATGGACTTCTTCAGCAGCATTTTGGTCAGAGCAGCCTGGGACACAAACACATACACACACACAATAAGGTTCAAAGCAAACAAGATTCAGTCCTTTTAGCTAAACCCGTGAAATTGCCGGCACAAAGAAAATGGTGTAAAAAGAAGGAACCACACACAGCATCTTAATGGCTAATAAATACACTTTGCATAAACTTCCTTGGGCCCAACTTTATTTTCATCATGTTCCTCTACTCCACTAACTTAACCCAAAAGACTACTGTACATTTAGACTCTTTCCCTCCCCATGAGTTCCAGCTTCAGTCCTTCTTTGCACCTACAAGTGAAGCTATTTGGGCCATAATTAATTAATGTTCTCCTCCTACATGGTAATAATAACTCATTTGATAATGGTTCACATCAGCGCGTGCCCAATTAAAGAAGAATTTCCACTCAGGGATTCCATCCTAATTAACAATTGTTCACAGTGCTAGTTAACACCCATGTTTAATAATTCAGTTCATTCAAGTAAACAATAATCCAAAGCCAACAAATAAATAAAGGGCAAAGCAATCCTAAATCTTTTAGGAAATCAACTGGTGTCACTAGAACTCAAGCAGAATGCAGTCGGAAGATACAATGAAATTAGCCTACTGGAAATTACTTGTTCTCTGAAAACATTTGACGAAGGCCTGTATACACTTTATTTTTGTATAATTACTAAAGAAGCAGTTGTATTATAACAGGCAAATAATTTAAAATTAAGTTTCTACCAGGGGAGAACATGAATTACAGCAGCTTATGCATTTCTATCCCATATATTTTTATTTTTAATTAATTAATTTAGTTAAATATTTTCCCCACCTTTCTACTAAAAAAAGGCCCCAAGACAGCTTCCATAATCTAAAAGGACAATACTGAAAGCTAAAAACAGTAAATTATTTAAATACTTGAAAATAATTAAAGAAACAGTTTATTTAAAGTATTAGATGACTTGAAGAAACAGTTTATTTAAAGTATTAGATGAAAGCATTACTAAAAAAAGAGTTAAAAGCAACAAAAACCCAAATCTATAAAAATATGAACCATCCCATTTTTAAAAACCTCTCACAGACATCCAGTCACTAACTAAGGGAAAGCTTGCATGAACAGAAAGGCATTTGCGGAAAGACAGCAAAGACAGGGCCAGGCTGGCCTTCCATGAGAAGGAGTTCCAAAGCCTGGGAACAACAAGAGAGAAGGCCCTCTCCCACAAAGTAGGCACTACAGTAATCCAGCCACGATGTAACTAAGGCATGTATCACAACTCTCTTCTCCTCACATCACCCTCTTAACAGCTCATAAACTACATCAGACTGACAACAGGTGGCCTAAAGTCACTCAGTGAATTTCAAGACCTAGCAGAGATTAAAGCCTAGATTTTCCAAGGCCAGGCCAACATTTCAGCCATTACACCACACTGACTACACAAAAAGGATCTGATGTTTATTAGAAAGGGGATGTTCTGGGAGAACCTCCTATGCGACAAAGTGGAAGCCTGCAAGTGACACAAGCTGGTATTGTTATTCTATGGCAGAGTTAATACCAACAAGCTTCTTGCCAGGTCTCATTAAATGCATCAAGGACTGTTGGAGACTTACCAACATGTTTCCTTTCGCTTCATGTAAGCAGTGAAATGCCAGCTCTTGGTTGGTACCGCCTCCAGGAAATATACTTGAGCAAGCGGCAGCTACCAGGTTCTCCACTGTTCCATCACAACAAACAGATGTCCAAGACAAGGTCGGGCAAGGTGGAGGGGAAGGGAGGGTGAAAGAACCAAAACAACAGTTTATACAAAATGTTTAGAACCTCCTGTTTTCTTAATCTTGATCATGGATTTCCTGGGAAAATGAACCGTCACCACTGCTTAATTGTTCCCAGTCAAATCATTCTGCTGTGTTGGAGTCTGTCCCACCTCCATGGCAGGGGGCAGGAAGATATGGAGTTTAACTGTTTCACTATTTGACACAATTTTGACAGGGTATATGCATCTGTTTCAAGTCATTTTCCATATTAAGTGTCTGAGTGCTAAGCAGCAAGGAGAAAGAGTATTCAACAGCCAAGGCTAGCACCCATATCTTGATCAGCGTGATATAGAAAAACAGACTTTGCCTAAGAACACTGTGCCCGAAGGGATGGGAGGCCGATGGCACCGGCGGCCTCGGCTGGGTTCCCACCTGCCATCTCTGAATCCACACAACCGATAGACGGTGAATAAAATTCAATAGGGTATACTGAAACATGGACTGGGGGGGGGGGAAGGCAACAAATTATTCTATGAGAAGTCAGCAGTCCCAGTTTTCAACGTTAGATCTACCCTCTCTCCATTAGTCTGCCACTCCCTGGTTTCATTCACTGGGAGGACTCCAGTGTCTTGAGGGGACAGCATTCCTTTCACTGAACTCTCCAGTCAATCCACAGGTTCAGTCCATCTGGTGAGGCTCTTCTCCCTCAAGGCTGTTCCCCTGATTGAGGGGTGGCATGCTCACACTGGGGGCAGGTATAATGGCACTCTCCCTCTTGCACCTCAGGGAACCTAATTTCTTAAGGTCTTATTCTCTGCCAAGCATCTATTCAAGCGGGAGCGGAATCACGTTCCTTCCTCTGTTCCTTCTTTTCTTTTCTCTACCCAACAAGAGGGTTGCAGGGGCAATTTAAACCTGTATTGGAGACCTCCTCTTTGGGTACCTTAAAGTGGACCCAGCTCCCACCCAGCTCCATCAGAGATCCTCCTTGCAAATGTAGTCCTAGTCACCTAGAACCATCTCTTTTGGGGACTCTTCAGCCCAATAATTGTCAGACTAATCTTCTTGAGCATCTACCCAGTCCTTGTCTCCCAAAGGCCAAGGGTCTCCCTTCTAAGCCTGCCAAGCCTTCAGCCATACTCCTGATGGTACCTTTATGCCATGCAAGAAGGATGATGTCATCAGACTGCAACTAAATTGATCTAATAGCTTCCTACTTCCCCTTCAGATTCTGAGCCTGGCTTTCAACTTGAGGAAGTCTTTGGATGCTGAGGGAGGCGAGGGGACAGAACCTTTAATATGTAAAACTTGCCACATGTGAAATCGGGACACCTACTGCTCATCTGGCTGCTATTTTTGGAAAGGTCTTTCCAAAATGCCATCCCATGGCTCCTGAAGGCTTCCCCAAGGCAAAAGGGAGCCCTAGAGGGCCTCAGAACGTGAAAAAAAAGTGGGGGAAATAGCTAGCTTTATATTAAAGTATGTTAAATTAAACATTACAATTGTGGCTGTTGACACCATCCTACTTGCCTGAACAACAGGATTTCAGTCATACAGTAGATCCCAAGTTGCCAGTGAATGAGCAATCAAAGGATCCACTGACCACATATCAAATTTGAAAAACTTCTTAGGGGAATTCATGTTTTCACATCCTTACCATTCTCCAGGGTAGATGCATTAGTTTCAAGTTCATCCCACGGCTGCCAGACCAGCAACTCCTTGGCCTTGTCAGAAGCTGCCAGAGATCGATCTCTAAGAGGTGGGATTTCTGCTTGAAACCTGGACCCCACATTGATCCGTCTATAAAAAAGAAATGAATCTTTCAGAAGGGACTTGTTTCACGACATCTATGAGCTGCCAGTTTGCCTAGATCAACCATCTCCTTCTTTGAAGTACATTAGAGTTGCAAGAGTGGTAATGCCCCCCCCCAAATTATTTGTATTCCTATGTTATTTGTTGAATTTACCACTAAAAGATGCATTCCCAAAATACAAATTTTTGAATACGGCCATCCAACATGTGCTAGCTTAGAAACCAGGAGGCTAAGAATGGAGCGGTAGAATTTCGAAGCCACCCACAGACAGCACAACTGCATGTCTGTTTATGTCCATGTGACAGTGCATGAGAACTAAATAGCAACTGTCTTCCCGTTTGACTACTTTTGTTACCTCCAAGGCTTCCCCCAAAACTGCCGATGAACTTCAGCAGCAGATCGCATCTAAACATTTAGGCAGCGAATGAGTTAAAAGGAATAAAAATAATGCTTTTCTTAAAGGATATTTTGCAATTTACCTCTGAAATGTGATGACAAACCAAGGAAACCATGGCTTAAAATAGCATCCCCAATTTGTTGTAATGGCTTTTTCTGATCTGATGCTAAATGTCAGCAGTGTAGCAGCAATCAAGGGGATCCAGCCCACAACAGGTTCTGGGAACAGAGTCCTACCAAAACTGGCTCCAGCTCTTACTAAAGGGGCCTCCCCCCCCCTTTTGGGAGGTGCCGAGATTGAGAGCTGCCGTTGGTCAATCTTTATCCTATCTGGAATATGGATTCCAATCCTTTGGAACAAGGAGAGATGTGTGAAGCTGCTGGATTTGAATTTTCAAGGCAGCTTCTGAACGCTTACTGGGGGGAAAGCAAGGGCTTCAATGCTTTAGCCTTCTCCACATAAATAAGGAGCAATAACCAGAAAACTTAGCTGGCCATTTTGTGTGTCTTGTGTGTCTTGAAGTGAGCATTAGAGGAGCGAAAAACCTTAGCACACTTATGAGGGAATAACTCCCCAGTAGGATGTGTTCTATTATTTTTCCAGAATTACCCTAAATTTAATTATTCTGAGATAGCAGATTCTAATGTTCTGGAACTAAATCATGTCATGAATCACAAAAGAATGCAGCATCTTTTATGATACCTTTATATCAATATTGTTAAACATTCTCTACACCTGATATTTAAAAATACACTCCCGTCGCACATGAAGACTCGTTACGTGAAACCTCACCTAAAAATAGAACACCCCCTTCCTCTCCATTCCCATTAAAAAAATGTGCACAACTGGACAACAGAGGCCGATAAATTGTTTCTATAAAGCCATTACTCTGATCTGCTCCACTTGACTTCAAAAGCAGCACAAGAAGCAAAAGAAGCACAGAGGTGGACTGGAAGAAGACAGCTGGACAAAGCCTGAAGTCTGCTTACTTTTGCACAACAGTGCAGAACAGACGCTGCATTTCCATTTACAATGCAAAGCAGATGAGAAAAGGTGATCAGTAACTACTAGCATAGGCCTCATATCTCTATATGTGGCTTGGGAGCATGAATCGAATAAATGGATTCATGAGAAGATAAGACTCAATAGAAAAGATAACAATGCTGAGAAAAGCTGAAGGCAGCAGGGAGGAAAAAAAACAACCAAGTAAGAGGTGGACAAACTAAGCCTTGAGTCTGCAAAAACTGAGGGGTCTGTTGACAAAAGGACCTTTGGGGGGGGTGTTATTAATTCATAGGGTTGCTGTTATTCAGAAGTGGCTTGACAGCATATAACAACAGCATCCTGTTCAATATTTACATGCATGGTGCTCCAACTGCGAAAGCTGTCATAGCAACCTGACGAGGTACTGCTCATGCATGATTGTGTGATTAATTGTGTAACCTGTTTTGCACCACAGCTGCTGTTTCTGCAGCCGGAGCTCTACACATAGACACTGACGAGGATGTTGGCGAGAGAGTCCTTAAACTAAGATCAAACCAAATACATAGAAAGAAGACTTTGATGAGAAAGACACTGCTGAAAACAGAATAGTTTTTTTCGGGTAGTTTATTTTATACACCTTGTCTCGGGTCATATGTAAAGAAGCCACTGCTTATTTGAGCATGCATCATTTGTGGGTGGTCCAAGAGCACCCATAAGGCATCTCCAAAGTAATGAAAACAGAGAGTATGATGTGAAAGAGAGCTCTAAAGACCAGTAGCCATTATGAAAACCAGTAAGTTGCTTGTATAAATTCGTAGGTCAAAGTCTGATGAGATTCACACATCTAAAATGTTTCTCTATGGTAAAATCTGTGAATTCTCACTGCATAATCAAGGTTTGAGATTCTATTTTCATCTTGCCTCTTTGAAACAATACGTTAGACTCAGATTTCGAAGCTAAGAAAGACAGGTATGTGGGTGTCAATGCCAGGAAGAGCAACTGGTACAATTCACTCCCATCTCTTCAAAGGAAAACCCAACACATTTTAGGGATTGCTTAGTTCATCCTTAGCGAAAGTCTGCTCTGTGAAGCCAGGTTGGCTCCCTCCCTCTTGTTCTTTTGTCTTCAGGAAAAGACCTTCCCTCTACAGGCAGGCTTTTAAGTAATGGGGGGGGGGCAAGGGGTGTTTGCTCAGGAAAGCTGTATTTATTGAATTCAGAAATTTGAACAAGTTATTAAAATGTTTTTAAAATTGTTTTTTAATTGTGCTTTTAATATTGATAAATGTTTCAGTATTTGAAGTATAATTTTTATGGCATTGCAAAAATCTGTGATTACTGTATAGTTCCACTTGTTGTGACCTATTTTGGGTCTCCCTAAGGGGATAAAGGTACCATATAAATAGCATAAATAGATGGTATAAATTAATAATATACTCTCTAACTACCATGAAGAGGAAAGGATGTTCCAGTATTAAAAGTAGATGGTTACACTTTATCTATTTCCTCTGAACACTTACGGTTCAATGCTGACAGGGGTGCACTCTCCCATTACTGAAAGAACAGGAGGAGTGACTTCTGTACTGTCTGCAAAACAAAGGGACATCATGAATTCATGGTCACATTGCCTATTAAAAGGCTTATAAACGCCATACTAATTATTAGTATTTTTATTCAAAGCAGTATCTGGCTTGCTAAAACATATTGTACAACTATCGCATCATCACACAATTTTCCTAGCACTTAAGGGCAACCAATCTAGATGATTCTATCCCTGGTTTCTAACTTGGAAAGCTATCATGATAAGGTCAGAGTGCGTGCATGCCTCAGGGATGGGGAAAGTGCAACCTTTGGCCACATGTGCTCCCCAAAATGTTTTTGCAGCCTCCATCCCTTCCTTTCCCTGGAAAAATAAGGGCAAGCTGCAGTTCCTAGAAGGCTCCAGGAGTACTGATTTACTTCTAAATCAGTGGTCCCCAACCTTGGGCCTCCAGATGTTCTTGGACTACAACTCCCAAAAGCCTATACCACTACCTCTGCTGGCCAGGATTTATGGGAGCTGAAGTCTAAGAACATCTGGAGGCCCAAGGTTGGGGACTACTGTTCTAAACAGCCCCCTGCCCCACATCAAAATGACACACATTTTTCAGACTAGATTTCTATCCACTTCTGGTTTTATTTTTCTAGGTTTTGGTGGGTGGGCAGTCTGGATGCTCTGGGCACCCACTACAAAGTCCTGCCAGCAGAAAGCTGGCAACTGACCCCGCCAATGCTGCTCACACTTGAAGTACCCAAACCTAAATGGAAAGACAACAGATTATGAGCATCACCTACAACTGTCATTCATGTTTTCTTCCAGCCTTAATGTTTGTATAATCCAATTTTAGATGAAGACGTAAAAACTTACTTGATCGGAGTAAAGTCCTGTGTGCACTTTTGGGTGTTATGGGAGGTGGAACAGTGTTACCACTAGCAGACAAGATAGCATTGAAATACAGTCCTGAACCCTCTCTCACAGGGCTCAGTATTGGAGGAGGAGTGTAAGGAGGGAGCTCAAAGTTCCTATCCGAAGGGTGATCTGCCAAACGGACAGGTGAACGCAAATGACTCTGGTATGGAGTGATATTGGAATAGACAGGAGGAGCAATGAAGGTGCCAGCCTTTGGGGGTATGAAGAGAGGCTCCGGTCTCGGCCGCTGCTTTGGTTTCCGTGCAAAGCCTTCCATTTCTTCTTTTGAAGCAGTGCCTTCATGCTAAGGAAAGAAAGAAAATAAAAGAGAGAAAGAAAGAAAGAGAAGAAGAAGAGAGAGAGAGAGAGAGAGAAAGTGTTATTTAAGACAGTCTCAACCATTTATATACCTCAATTCTTCTACTCCAGGGGATGGGAGATGTGCTTGTCAGAAATATATGAAAAACATTTTCTCCTGCATAGTTCCCACATTCAGGAATACATTCAGACATTATATCTGATCCCCATTCTTCCAATGTTTAAGAACAGTATTGAGATCCATCTTCTAAATTAGAATTTTTAAAAAAAACATGTTCATGGTTTTTAATGTTACTGTCACTGCTTGAGTTGGCTGGATAGTTCAGTGAGTTAGGTATCCCACCATGCCTTCTGGGAGAAGAGCCAGCCTGTGTGGCCTTGGGCAACCTGCACAGTCCCAGAGTTCCCCTAGAAGAAGGAAATGGCAAACCACTTTTGAATGTTTTAATAGGATCACCATACATCAGAATTAGCTTGCTGACACACTACTACTACTACTACTACCACCACCACCATCTTTATCTTCTTCATGTGTTTCACTAGTGTTTCACATTTGTTTCATACAAAAAATTGAACATATCCAATTGTTACTAGACAGCTATGCCATTTTAATATCAGATATGATACTTTTTAGCGGTATGAACTATCTTTGGACAAATGTGCAAAACTAGATCTGAAATCAGGGGTATCGGTGCAACTTTAAAATGACAACAGGGCAGAGTAAGGGGTTGCCCTCCCTCCCCAGGGCAGAGCAAAACCACAACAGATCCTTCATATCCCATTTGGCATTTATAGGGTTAAAGTTGTGGAAAGAGACCTCCATCATTGTGGTGCTAAAAAGGGCTCAGCCTGAGGTTGTTGGCCCAGGATTGAAGGATTGCCTACTCCGTTGTGGGTGCTCCATCACCCATTTTGTGGAATTACAGGGTGAAGAGAAAGACTTGTTACGTGCTGAAATATTCTCTTCTCTTTTCTTCTCAGCTAGATTCACTAAATGTTATTGAACAATTATTACACTATTAGGACTGAATGATTATGTGATTGTGGAAGGATGATTGCTGTAGGGGCTTTGAGTTAACAGACACACAATTATGGTACTGTGTTCTTCAAACCCTTTGTCTTCTCCCCCTTTTCATGGGATTTCTTTTTCTAAAAAAAACAGAGATCTGGAAATGCTCACATAATGTTACAGACTTGGGTACAAAGCATGTTTGAATATCTCCTAAAGGCTACAGGGTGTGTTAGCCCCAAAGTGTGTGCCAATTACTAGGGTATAGAACAGGTTGCAGGGTTGCCTCATGCTCCTTTAACTAGCATATCTTTCCACTTTAATACCAGGAATGGGCAAAGCCATTGTGTCTTGCAAATTAGCCACCAAATAATAGAAAACTCAGTGTCTGGAGTTAAAATCCATTTCAAAGCTGTAAGACCACAAAAACAAGACATGGATTCAGAACACTGCAGACAGAGTGCCAATGAGGCTGCCCCCAAAGTATTAACCATCGCAAACTCCAGCACACAGCTGCTAAGAATGGCTATTTTATTAGGCTACTAAGTAATTTACCCTGCCATTCCCAGTGAAACCTCAACTTTTAAATAGCTTGCAAAACAGAACAGCCATGTAGTATGTTAAGTGAATATGGGACAGACACTGGATCACGCCACAGCTACTACACAGAGAGAGTCAAGGTACAGAGAACCACTGAGAAACATACAAGAGAACCGACTTTACAAAACTTGGGAGGATTCATCCACACCCTACATTCACACCCAGAGTTCCCAACATCACTGGCCTACCTGCGCAGACCCATCTGCATTTAAATTGCGATTGGATCTCCTCCGGGTGACTATAACAGAAGGCTTGCTTTCAGAAATGCTGCAGTCATTCCCCATGAACTGCTGCTGCTGCTGCTGCTTTCCATCCTCACTTTTTCCCCTCCCAACATCTTGAGAGTCTAGCCTTCTCACCGGCACAGAAACAGGAATGATAAGAGGCATAAGGGTGCTGTCCTCCCGAGCTCTTTTGGGGGCAGGTGAAGAACTGGCAAATTCTACAACACTCCTTGGTGCAGTGGCTGCCGCTTCACTCTTGTTCTTTTCTTCTGAGGCTTCTGGCTCCTTTAAACAAAAGAACATACCACTTGTCAAGACACCTGAACCATATTTACAGATGATGTGTGGAAAGGGCTGGGCAGAAAATAAGACTGAAAGACGATGACTAGAGATGGGAGTATTTGTATTTGTAAAAGAATACAAATATCCCTGCACAAGTGGTGTTAATGAGGGTCCAGCCCCATAGGGCCAGACGGTCCATTCATCGATCGGACGCAGACGGTGCGATTCTACAAATGGCTCCACAGCGCACAATCCGCTCGCCACTCCTGGCAGGAGGTGGTGCAATCAGCCTCGCTGCAAGGTTGAAGAGTGGCAGCAAGTGGATCACGCGCTGAGGAGCCATTCGTAGAATCACGCCATCCGCGTCCGCATCGGACCAGTGAGTGGACCGTCCGGCCCCATGGGGCTGGACCCTCGTTAACGCCACCTGCACGGGGATATTCATATTTGTATACAAATACTCCCATCTCTAATGGTGACATCTCCTATGAACAAGAAGGAAGTACACCCAAAATAGAACTTCTTTTCAGTCTATAACGTTAATTATATTTGGGCAGTAGGCCACTACAAAATCAAAAGAAGTTACCAGAGACAATAATTTACAAACTTACTACTGCAGTTGAGGATGCTTGCTTCTAACAACATGGATACTAACCTTTCTTCACAACTCTTGGGTATGTACTTTTAGTGATTATTTATATTCTGCTTCTAAGACGCAAATCTTTCCAAGGTGACATACTAGTAATATAAGCATATAGTAACCAAACCACATCAAACAATCTGTTACATGGGCTCAACATACTATTCAGAAAATGCTGTTGAAGATAACCACAGACACAAGGGAAACTGCGAAAGCAGTTCTCTGATTCGCTGGGCAAACAATCATTTTCCTGCCTGCAAGGATGTGGGAACATGACAGACAGCTATGTGCAGAGACACCATTGCTTGCATGACTACGCACAAACGCTGCACAATTCCCTTTCAGGTTCTGGCCCATGGACTAGACAGCATTCCCCACTTCATATTAAATCTTCATATGGGAATCACTGCATTCCATGCAGATCTGCATGAGGAATCCTTTTGTCACAAAAAGGAATGACTATAAAGTAAGAGTTATGTAAGCAGCCTAGTTAAAAATATTGTGTGTTTCCCCACACTTGCAGTAAATTATATATCCTACATACTGGGATCATGCAAATTGGTCAGAGAAAGGATGCTTGATTGTGAAGGAGAGATAGGAAAAAGAGAGAAGGGACAGAATGAGCCGTCTTCATGAATAGAGACATCAGAGATAGGAGAGAGGGAACTAATAGTAGAATGGGAAGAGTTGGCTGTAGAAGAGAAGAAAAGAGAAGAGAAGAGAAAGTTGAAATCTGTCTGATGGAGGAGGGAGAAGGAGAAAAGGAGGAGTAGTTAATTGTGCCAGTATGGGAGGAGGATATAAAAGCTGAAAGGGGAGGAGAGTTTTTAGTATATCCAGGGGAGAGAGAAGGAAAGAGGAGAAAAGTAGAGAGAGAGAGAGAAAGGTGAACAGAAATATCAAAAATGCCTCAAGGATTAAAGAAACTCAAGGAAAACATATGGATGATATTGCAATAACAACAAAAATGATTAAGAGGCAAGTAAAGACCGTGAAAAACTGGAGTGCATCTGGTCCAGATGAGCTGCACGGATTTTGGTTAAAGCATTTAATAAGTCTCCATCAACATATAGCAGTGCAATGTCATCACTTACTTCAAAATTCTACAACAGGAGATTGGATGACAACAGGCTGCACATTTGTTATAATAAAAGATAATCAAAAGGGCAACGAACCCAGTAAATTATTGACCAATTACATGCCTTCCAACAATGTTCGAGCTCCTCACAGCAGTACTTGCAAGATCGATATATAATTATTTAATTGCAAACTCCCTGTACCCAGCTGAACAGAAAGGGAACTTTAAAAAGTCAAGAGGCATGAAATATCAGCTGCTTATTAATAAAATGATACTGAAGAATGCAAAAAGATGAAAAACAAATCTTAACATGGCCTGGATAGACTATAAAAAGGCATTTGACTCATTGTCACACAGCTGGATTAACACATGCCTAAAAAAGTTCTGGGATTAGTAAAAGTTCCTCAAGGAAAACATGGCAAAATAGGAAACTGTCCTTATGGTCTATGGTGAAGGAACTGGAGAAGTCAACATCAAAAGAGGAATATTTCAAGGGGATTGTTTGTCACCACTGCTGTTTAACATCTCACTAATCCCCATGGCAATAATTTTAAATTGGGCTACCATATTTCAGAAAAAGCAAGAAAAATCAATCATCTGTTATACATGAATGACCTAAAACTGTATGCAAAAAGTCCCACCGAGATAGAATCACTGCTAAACATAGTGCAAATATTTAGCGAAGATATTCAAATGAAATTTGGATTTGACAAATGTGCAACTCCGTCTATAAAACATGGCAAGTTCCAAAAACCAGATGGACTAGAGTTTAAAAATGGCAATATTATAAAATCACTCTCAAGTGATGAAAATTATAAATACCTTAGAATAACATAAGCAGATAATATCCTGCACACAAAAGTTTAGAACTGACATTAAGGGAATATGTCAAAAGACTGCGAAAAATCTTAAAATCAAAATTAAATGGTGGGAATACAATCAAAACCAAAAACACATGGGCAGTTCCAGTAATTAGATACCAAGCTGGAATAATAGTCTGGATCCAAAATGAATTAAAAAAATTGGATCAAAAATATGGAAACTAACCAACATGCATCGTGCACTACATCCAAAAAGTGATATGGACAGGTTATATTTATGACAAAAAATTGAAGGACGTGGAGTACTGCAAATACAGTAGGTAGTAGCGGAGTTAAAAAGAAGTGATTGATTATATTAGTACAAGTAGAGAACAATTATTTAAGGCAGTGAAAATGGAGAATATTTTGAAAACAACAGAAACAAAGGCTCAATATCAGAAACAACAATTTGAAAAACAAACTAAACAGTTGGAAAAATAAATTACTCCATGGACAACATCTGAGAAATATTGATGGAAAGCATGATCATAATTCAACATATGCATGGCTAAAACGGAGGACCCTTAAGAAAGAAACTGAAGGCCTGATTTTTGCTGCACAATAGCAAACACTCCAAACCAATGTGACAAACGCTAAAATCCAAGGCATTAATGATAACAGCAGATGTTGACTCTGCCAAGAAAAAGATGAAACTGTGTTCCACCTCATCTGTGAATGTCCAAAGGTTGCACAAACAGACTACAAAGTTAGCCATGACAGAGTGGCAAAATTACTACACTGGTCATAATGCAAAAAAAAATCCCAGAGGATGCCAGGGTTGAAAATAAAGAATTGGAAATACTAACAAAATGCAGAGGTCTGGTAATTGAAACATGTCACTTGTGGATGAAAGACACATCAGTGGTTACCACGGTCATCAGAACTTTGGAAACAAATTTTTAAAAATTCACACAGTATTGTAAGATAGTTGCAGATCTCAGAAATAACAACATCAGAAAATGGCAATATTAGAAGCAACATACATATTGCACTGATATTTAACAGATACTTAGGGTTTGGGTTACAACTTGTAGCTGTCATGTAATACCAGTCGATGTTTTTATAATTTTAATTGACTGTGTCTGGCATTTTTGAATCGTCATCATTTTAGAGCTGCAGAGCTGGAAGGGGCCCTATGCAGCATCGAGTCTAACCCCTGTCAAGGATGCTGCACAGTGGGGAATTGAACTCCTAACTAGAGATGGGTGTATTCCTATACGGATACGAATATCCCCACACAGGTGGTGTTAATGAGGGTCCACTCACCGATCCACCACAGATGTGGAGAGCATGATTCTACCAATGGCTCCACAGCATGCGATCCACTTGCCACTCCTGGCAGGAGGCGGGACGACAAGTCTCGCTGCAACGTTGAAGAGTGGTGAGCAGATTGTGCACTGCGGAGCCATTGGTAGAATCGTGCCATCTGTGTCCGTGGTGGATCAGTGAGTGGGGCTGGACCCTTGTTAACGCCACCCGTGTGAGGATATTCATATCCCCATCTCTACTCCCAACCTGACTCTGCAGCCAAATGCCTAAACCACTGAGCTACCTAGCAGTTCCCTGTGCCACTCCTTTTTCTTACTATTTGTGTCCTGGCAGACTGGATGTCATCACACTCCTCTTCACAGAAATAGACAATGATATATCCAAACCCACCTTCCAGGTTTTCAGCCCCAGACATCTTTCTCCTTCCTGCACTTCTTTTCCTATTTATTTTATGTTAAACAATCCACTGTAAAAATTTTGCACTTTTCGTTTCTCAATGATGAAAGCATTAGTTCCACATTTTAAGTGTTCAATAATTTATTAACTTTAGTATTTTTTTCATTGATCATCCTCTCCACCCAAGAAACTTTACACAACTAGTACTTCTATCTTTGTTACAGTAGCCCGTGTTAAAATTCAAAATTCCATGCCAAACAGCAGAATTGAGAATACACTGCATCATGCAATATATATTTTCAAAGTCAAATTTGTCTCTGTTGCGTATTACATTCTTCATATGAAGGAAATTACTCCACGCCATCTCTAGTAATTGTATGGCTATGAATTCATGATTTGATGAGACATCCAATGAAATTCCAAGGTACTTGCATTTGCCAAACTGCTACCCACTTTTCGTTGGATCTTTAACTGCTTTTCTTGGGCTGCTTAATTTTTTTACTGATTACCATGAATTTGGTTTTCCTGACATTCAATTTTAAAACTAGATTTTTTACTTCCCTGATTTTACTGAGTAACATCTGTAGACTACCTAAATTTTCAGTCTGTAATGTTGTTTCATCTATATACTGGGTGTTGATATCATCATTTGAATCACTGAGTGCTTCTCAAAAACATTCTTGAAGTACAGATTGAATAGCTGTGGTGGGAGCAAACATCATTGTCGTACAGTACTCTCCATATCTCTATTATCTGCTTTTTGGCCTTCAGTGCAGCTTTTAATTGCCAGTACAGAGGACCACTCATAGACTGCCACTCTTTAGGTATTTGAATTCCTAAAATTCTTAGTCTTTTGGAAGACAGACAAATGCCATAAAACATTACCAAGGAATACTTGACAGCGTTTTTGACTTCAAGCTGCAGTTCTATTTGCCTCCACTCTCTTTCTTCCATTCTTATGGATTTCTATTATCATAGCTAGAAAAATCAAGGCTCAGGAAAATGTGGAAGTGGTATTTTGCCAGCTTTTGCAAAGCCTTTTTGGAAAATTTTTGGATTATAAAATATTTTATTCAGTGATAAATAATATTTAAGGCAAGCTGTTTGTATCTCTCCACGAAGTCTTTACTCCTTCAAAATAACATCTGAGAAGACTTAGAGCTTGATGTTGGAACAGAACCATCAAAAGGTACAAAAAGGAGATAATCTTGGCATATGTGGTCCAAGAGTCCACTTGGGATTTCTGCCGCACACAAGCTTCCTGCAATGTGAGACCACTGACCAACATACGAGCTTCTGATTCCTCTTATTTCTTGCCTGTTTTAGTTTCTTTCATCTACTGCAGCATGTGACAGAAACCTGTCTATGCGTAGAAATACATTAACTAGAGAAATAAACTGACTATAAAGAAACGTTGCACTATCTAGGCAAATCTCCCATTTTTAGATATGCATTAAATGAAGGATCAGAAGAACAGAAATTGCTACTAAGCAGTAACACAGAAAATGAGACTGAAATGAAAGTGAGACAAATTTTCAGTTGGCAATGAGTCCTAGGGAGGTTCTACTTTTTTCCTTAGTTTTTCATCTGAAAATGACTGTTTTCAGGATCACACTTTGGAATACAATATCACACCTGGCTTAGTAAAGTCTTTACTATTTCTTCTGTGTCAAACTTTAACCTCTAGCTGATTTTTCTTATACTTGCAAAATGAATATTAGGTTTATTGCAGCGTAACAGTTTCTAATTTCCACGTGAAACCAAAAATATCAACATATTTTAAAGCAAATTCAACTAGTAAATTTTCAGTTATTTTAAAAAAAAACCCTATGCTTAAAGTGCTTATATACCAAACATGATACTAACAATGCATAACAGAAAATCTGTAAAAGGCAAAAAGAATATATATTAATACACTGCTCCCTTAAATTGCAAGGGTTTCAGCAGCACAGTATTGGTTATACAGGGATTTTTCCAATCAATCAGTCAATCAACTATTCCAATAAGTATATATTTTGATAAATAAATACATATTCCGTAAATATTGTGTTGCTATTCATCCCCAGGAAGTGGCCTGGGAAAGGTAGGTCTCGTACTTACCGAGTCCCCTGTTGTTGTTGGTGAGGCAGCCCCCCCAGTCTGACAGTGGCAGCCCGACCAGCCCCTCTCCTGGCACGGCAGCTCCATGTGGTGCCCCTGGAGCCTTGTGGGACATGCTGTACCATTAATACAGTAAACTCGCATGTTCTATATATATATGTATTTCTGTATGTTTGTGCAAATCAACCATGATTGCCTTGTAGTTATGTTTTCAGGGGCATAAGAGGTACACATGGATTTTGAACTACACGGGGGTCCAGGACTCTAATCCCAGCATTGTTGAAGGGAGAAGTGCAATAATAATTATGTGCCATCAAGTCAAGTCTAACTTATGGCAACTTTCTTCAGAATTATATATGTAATATTACATACTTTTCTCAAAAGTTATCCCACACCTCTAGAAAAAATCCCCCCCCCCGCCAAGGTATTAGCATTTCTGGAAATTGTGCGCCTCTAATCATTGCATTTCATCTCTTTCTCTCTCACACACATACACATACTGTATTTTTAATTATTATTATCTGAAGTATAAATATTTTCATCCAACAAGTAGATTTTAGAATCAAGAATTACATTTACAAAATTCTGAAATTTCCAGTGTAGCTAAAATCAACACAACACATTAAGTAAGAATGCAATAACATTGACAGGTGTTAAGTAGCTAACAGAAGGCCTTCTCCTCTATTAATGCATAATGCCTGTATTTTGAAGATAAAACACAAAGACCATCTCTGACAATCTTCCCCTACCAGCCTAACTTGCAAGGACTCTGTCAGCTATTTGGTCTCCTGAGTAATTTAGGGTTTTAACAGTAAGTGCCAGCATCTTTAAAGCGGTTTGCGATTATACAAGAAGCTGTTGTAATTCCTTCAGAACTGATTAACTTGGCTCCATCAAGATTAACATGACAGAATTGTAACAGCTGAATTCTGTACCAGCTAAAGAGCAGAGTCATACAAAAGGCATTACAGTACTTTAATACAACCTGGAACGTCCCAGAATGACAACCACTGCGTTGCAATTGGTTATCTGGAGCCCTGGTTTCATGCCCATCCTTAACAAATGGCAGTGAGTACTCAGGGCTCATCTTTCTTAAGTGTGTCCCTGCATTTATGCAGCTCCATCACTTCAAAAAGACTGAAGACTTTTTTAAAAAATCAATCTGTCTTTTAATAACTGTTTTCCTCAGAACTGTAATCACACACTGGCCTAAATCCTATTTTGCAGCTCAAGGTGTGAAAAGGTGATGATGTCATCGCCAGCAGCAAATCGCCACAGATTAAAGATGAGTACAGGATGCATGTGAATCACATCTATGCAACAATGTCACATGCACCTTGAAATCACCAAAGGAAGCTTTTAATCAGTGGTAATTTGCTGCTGCTAATGACCTCATCAGCATTATGCACATGGAGTTGCACAACCAGATTGTGGCCAAAGTATTCTTATATTCTACTTTTTGTCTGCATACTGCCTTCTTGGACAAATCAGAAGAACACTAAGCAGCAAATAGCAAATGAATATAGCATAAATAATAGATCCCCTCAACCAAACTACTCTTATCCAGGAAAGAATACAGCTAATGTACAAGCCAAAGTTAAGATACTCTTAAGTCACTAAGACCACTTGGGCCTCTGGTGAAGCTTACTGGTTTCTACAGAGATACATTGCTGGAATTGGTAAAATACTACCCTTCTAGATCCATCCACCATCAACAGATAAATGTCTGCCATTTTTATTGTAGTAGCACCCATAAATGTAATTCCAATTTATCTTCACAGCAAGGCTGAAGGTAGGCCGAGAGACAGCTATATTTGCCCCAAGGCTCTTTATTCAATTTCACACCTGAGTGAGGACCAGCATCACATAAGAGCCAGACCTCTATACTGGGACTTGTGAGATCCAGTTAGAAATGCCCATTTAGCCATGAAATTCACTGGATAAATTTGAGTCCATTTCTCTTAGCCTGATCTACCTCCTGGAATCATTGTGAATATAAGGTATGGTGGTGAAGAGTCATTTGTATCCCTTGAATTCACTGGTGGAAAGATAGAAATACAACAAATAAATGCATCAAGCAATTCCTGTTCCAACCTAGTATACGACACACCAGTCACCAGCAGTCTATTTATGTATCTCTTTCCTTCTTCCCAGTTTCTTACTAATCTATACCTCTAAGTCACAGTGACCTGATCATGAATGGAGATCACTAATCACTGCACACTCAAGTTACCAGAATGCCATGTGACTGTTAAGCATCTCACCTAATCTCACTCTGGTTACAAATGCATTAACTGCATTCCTAATATGTTTTCAGCTTCAGCTTTCTTGTCTTGCAAGACATAAACCTGCTTTTCTTTCCCTTTCTAAAAATACAGCCATTTCAAAAAACCTAATTCTGAAATGACCCAGAGAGAGAGAGAGAGAGAGAGAGAGAGAGAGAGAGAGAGAGAGAGAGAGAGAGAGGGATATTTCTCTCACAGTGATTTATTCTAATCACTCAATGGCCAAGTCCATTTGATGGAATAATATGGAGCAGCTAGGTGTGTGAAAGAGAAAGCAATTTTTCTTCTTCTAATCGTTCAGCTATGTTCAGTGTGGAAGGTCTTGTGAGGCAATGTGACCAACTATGTTTTCACAGGCACCAACTATTTAGTCCCCGTGATTCACCAGAAGTCAACATCTCCAAAGCAAAACACAGTAGACAACTGTACTTCTTCGGTGGTTACTCTTAGAATGTGGAGGCTGTGCTCTCACCCTGCTCCCTGTGGTCCTTGTGCCAGCACACAAAGATGCTTTTTTATTCACACGGATCTTTAGCAACCGCCTGGCTGCTGATGAAAGGCCCTTTGACTATGGCTTCTCTGTTCTTTCAAACTGTTTTTAATCCAAGTGTGTTCCAATAAAATCTGCAACATTTTAAATATCATATATTTTTGTGTAATAACACACAAAAATAATCTGTATAGTCTGTACCCTGTTTGTGAGCTACCTTGAGTCTCAGATTTGGGAGACAGAGTAGAATCAAACAATTAAAATATAAATAGGGCAAAGTCAAACTTGTTTCTTATCACTGTTTACATATAGTCATCAGTGTAATAGACGAGAGCAACTTGCTGACAACAACAAGCCGTCTAGAGTGGTCGTAATTGACCAGATAGGCGGGATATAAATAAAATAAAATAAAATAAAATAAAGGTCTTGCAAGAATAAAATTTTCTACCTGGAGAAATAAATGAAGGATCAGGAATGGCTGCTAACTTTTTTAGATGCTTCATTAATTAAGAGAAGAGGCAACAGGCAGGAAACACGACTTACTCGGACATTCTGAAGAGAAGCCAGCTCCACAGCCTTCTGAGCCAGGGTGAGCAAGTTGGCTTCTTGAGAAACACGCCGTCTCCTCCGCGTGCTCTGGATGACACCACCTCTAACACCACCAAACTCATTAGCTCTCTGGACCAGGCCCTCATTTACAACTTCCTGCTTTCCTAGTTCTCTGGCATTCTCATATGAGTCCACTTTCTCCATTTCAGGTTGGGTCGGCTGACCTCCAGCTGGGATCTCCCCACGCTCCAGCTCTGCTCTCCTCAGATGTGAATAACCATCCTTGTGGTGACTGAACATTTCAGACTGATGTGGAAACTGGATTTCTGGATGCTGTTGTGGCTGCCAGTGATGTGGCAACACAGTGCCAGGATACTCCTCAGCTGGCTTATTAGAGGCTGGTGCATCTTCTGCAGAAGAGGTTGGCAAAACGCCTTCCTTTGAGAGTCTCCGTGACCTCCTTGGGAGGGAGATCTGGGCCTGGGGTAGGACAGTCTGTGAGTTCTGTTCTGTGAGGGCCTTCAACAGCTCCTGATTCCTTTCCGAGACTGAGTGGAACTGATGGGGCACCATATGATGCTGGGGAGCTTGTGGTGGTGCTGCCACATGTGGCTGTGCTACAGAGACGGGTTGCTGAAGACCAAAGGCTTGTGCTGAAGCCTGCTGCTGATGGTGTTGTTGTTGCTGCTGCTGTTGTTGTGGGTAAAAGTTTTCAAACAGCTGCAACTGCGGAAGAGCTTGTTGCTTCTGCTGGGTGGTGAAGGCTTGGCTGGAAGAAGTCGGAGCATGCTGAAAGACATGCAACAACTCTGGAAGTCCTTGCTTCTGGCCCTGGTGGCCAAAGGCAAGCTGGAAAGGCTGCAAAGGGAGAGTCTGATTCTGCTGCTGCTGCTGTTGCTGCTTCTGCATTTGCTGAAAAGAATTAATTTGAGCTTGCTGTCGGGCCAGTGCTTGCTGTTCCAGCTGAGCTTTCTGAGACATCATCTGCTGGCCAGCATCTCCATATAAGTCTAGCTGTGATACCACCACGCCTTTCTCCCTGCTTCTTTTCAAGGCATCTGGGTGGCTGTAGAAAGCTGGGATGCTGGCATTGGGGTGCCCCCCTTTCTGGCTGCCTCCTCCATAAACCATCCCATGATTCCATCCGCCTGGCTGAGGCGGCTGCTGCCAACCAGGCTCGCTCTGCTCAGACAACGGATTCCCCATCAAAGAGTTTTGCCACTTGGCAACGGTCGCCAGCTGCTGAGGGGTCATCCTTGCCTCTCCTCTGTCTTGATAAACAGAGTTCAACAAAGTTGCATTACTAGGGATTCCACTGAATACACCCAACTTGGAAAGTTCCATGGCTTGGGAAGAAGGCACATTCCCCACATGGCCGTAGTACTGCCCTTCTTTGAGCTGCTGCTGCTGCTGCTGCTGTTGTTGCTGCTGCTGCTGGGTTTCTTTTGGCAGGCCAGCTTGCCCACCCAGAAATGCAACCCGCTTCCCAGTCCTCTTGTTTGCAGCCTTCTGCTGAGCCTGCAGACTCATGGTTGATTCTTGGGTGGAAAAATTCAGACTAATAGCAAATCCATGGCTTGTGCTAAAGCAGAAAGTGAAGGACAGATATTAAAGATAGCCAGAGATGCTTATGCCCTGCCCGGTATAATCCACCTGGAGATATAAAACTCAGTTTGCTAGGCTGCCCTCTTTATACTTTGTAATTCACAAGGAATTTGTCCATTTAGTCTCAGCACCTGAAATAAAAAAAAACGACAGAGAATTAATCACACAATATCAACCAGAAACTATTATGTACAGCTTGAGAAGGTTAGTTCAGTGACCGCTGGGATCAACAACATCTTCCCACCCACCCCCAGCCACATGGTATGTCTGCCTATTTACCGCCACCTCCTTCTTTCCCTGCCAGACCTACTCCCTTCCCTTAGTTTGTCTATTACGTAATTATTTATGCTTGGCGCAAAATGCCCTACACATTTTAGCCAGCTTTCCACTTTTATGACAATATTCTGTAACAACATTAAATTCCTCCTATAACATTTTTCTTCTACTCTGGTGTCCCTCTCCACTCTTTTATCTTAAATATTTGAGACCAGTAAACATCTTCTGAATTCTTCATGCCTAGAAAATCCTGGTGCAGTCACTATAATTCACAATTGACTTAACAACACACATCCCCAAGATTTCTGTGTTAAAGAATTGCACAGTCCTTTCTTTAGCCCAAAGGGCACTATATGAGAAACATTTACAAGCTTGACAAATTAAAGCACAATAAATATGTTTTAACACCTGACATCTTTGGTCTGCTCATGTATCCTTAGCCATCCCAGGAGCACCAAAACACAATGAACGTCTCTGGAGCAGAGAAACATTTTCACTGGAAGTACTACTGTATCTGCAAAGATTCCACCACTGTGACTGCAACCAAAATGCACTCTTCTCCAAAGACTCTGGAGAGTGCATTGCTCAGTTAGACACAGCCCAGCCCAACTTAACTTGCTCTCTACTACAATGCACCTGACTTTTCTTGACTTTCTTAAATAACATTTGCCAAGGTGATGACATCTGGATCTGACATTAAACATGTATCTTTAACATTCACCCAGATGACTGAAGAACCAGAGGCAGAGCTTCCATCAGAGGTCTTTGAAAAGTACATCCAAAAGGACAGCTTAGGAGTCAGTATGATTAGAATAAATCATTGCGTATAGAGGCACACTAGGTGTAAACACTGGCTAAAACCCTGTTGTCACAGCTCTGCACACATAAGACCGAGGACACCGTCAGTAACAGCCTTTTATCATTATTAAAAGTTTTCCATTCCCCCCATCAGGTTCTGAGACTCAATACAACAACAACAACAACAACAACAACAACAACAACAACAACAACAACAACAACAACAACAACAACGTGCCATCAACTCAATTCTGACTTACGATGACCCTTTTCAGGGTTTTGCAAGTAGAGAATACTCTGAAGTGGTTGACTAATCCCTTCTTCCCATGCAACGTCCCCATGGCCAGTGTGGCTGGCAATGCTAGGGATCCCTTTAGTATCAGGGAAGCCTTTGCGGGGACCTCAGGACCGGATGTGTGTGTGTGTGGGGGGTGAAAATTGCTGAAAATTGCTGAAAATTGCCATCGCCAGTAAATCGGGACACAGGTCAAGTGCTCTTTTCCCACTGCCAAAGGCACTCCTGTACATTCTGTTGCTAATCATCACAGTATTCATTGCTTTTTCAAAGAAGAAGTTTATTCTAGACCATGAGAATTCTTTTCCTGACAAGTCATGAGAAGTTGTCAACGCTAGGATAAGGGTATCAGAAAATATCCCATGTTACACTCACAACAGGAATTTTACTAGGGCAGAGTTTATATGAAACGTTGTGTCTGAAAAAGGTTGTGAGAGCACTTCAGTTAGTCAGGTCTCTGAAGTGTGCATAAAGTGATATTTTGAATCAGCACTCTCAAATCCTAATGTTTTATCACATTCTATGTAAAATTTCAAAATACCATGGGATGTGATTAAGCAATGAAGAATATGTTGGTAAAACAAGGAAAATGCACATATGTGCTACAACCTGTAAATTACAACCACTATTACCCAGTTCAAAGTTTTCCTTTTTAAAAATTTGGATTATGACATCATGATCTTAGAAATACTACACCCTACAGTAAGTCATGACATTACCCATAATATGTTTGTTTTGAGTGTAACAAAGGAATAACAGTTGTTCTTTTGCAAATTATGGAACAATTGGGAAACTCATTCTCCCTTCTGGCTATGAAATTAATAGATTTTAACCTCTTCCTTTTTGGGGCTAAGTAATCCTTTCTTGGGACCTTTTTGCTCCAAATTTTGGGGCATCCCCAATGGGATGGGACAGCAGTGAATATTATTACAGCAAGCTATTGGATACAGGCAATGTTAACAGAGAGATGTTTACCCCCTTTTAGGAAGGCCGTAATAAGTTACACAACAAAGTACTGCTGCTTGGGTCATATCGATAAATGAAGGAGCCACTGGTATATGAGAACTGACTTCTAGTGACCCTGGTAGGGCTTTCAAGGTAATAATAATGATAAATGTTTTATTACAGTCATTGACCAGCAAAAGTAAGCAACATTATTTAAATCAGGAAACAGAGAATCAATCTAAAAGCACTAAAAACATCTATATACATTTACTGTATATACCGTAACATTACATTCATACTGCTTATTAGATATCTCCTGCCTCACTATCATAGGCCTTGTCTATGGGCTATTGTAGCTTGCACAGAACGACAGAATTATCAATTAGAAGCCCATAGAGCCCGTCTGATCATTAAGGCCTCTACTTGTATACACCAATTTACAGATACTATAGCTGCGCTTTGGGTGGCACCTTTCCTTCACAGATTTTGATTGCAGCAGCACAGAATTTACCTACTTTTGTCAAAATATCTGAATTTCTGCAGTGCGCAATGTGCCTCTGATTGTCCAGGAAATTCCCTTATGTAAGGGTTAATGAGGACTTCTCAAATGGCAGAATAAAAAGCACAATGACACATGAGAGATGGTTTTGATCTCACCAGAATTACATACTTTACATTCTACTTCAGCGTACAAGAACTTTTGGAAACTGGTCCCTAGAGAAGGCTATTCTGAACGAAGGTCTCTTTAATCAGTAAAAAAAATAAACTGAACTTATTTCATGGACTGTAATGTTATGGAGTACTGTATGGAAACTCAACATGCAATATGACAGGTAGTGCACTCGGAGACAAATCAATTCTTCCCATTTAGGAGGTAAGAAGTATATTAAACCAATGATGTTGTGGTAAAGGGAGGGTGGGACACTATGCTTCAATCTTGCAAAGAATTTGGGGATTTCTTGGGAAAATAGACAATATATGCCTATACTTTGTAATTAAATACACTGTATTATAATGAATTGATGGTGACATGGTGGCACTACAGTAGACCTGGGCAAAGTACAGCCCAAGGGCCACATACAGCCCGCAAGCCGCGCCTATCCGGCCCGCCGGTCGTCACTCCAGTCACTGCACTTGTTCAAGCCCAAGACATACTGGATTTCGCTCACTGAACAAGTTGAACATCAAAACCATTTACAGTATAGCTTTTTCCCCCCCTAAAGTTGATCAGTTGCTTATCTTTAACATACTGCAAAAAAACTCTTTAGTATTTGTGAAGATGAAGTTTAAAATAAAAACAATCATAACATCACTGTTTCATTTTATTTTAAAGTAAAGTTGGTTTGGTCCCCAAAAACAGTTCAGATTTTTCATGTGGCCCCCTATAGAAATTAATTGCTCACCCCTGCACTATGGGTTAAACCGCAGAAGCCTCTGTGCTGCAGGGTCAGAAGACCAGCCGTCGTAAGATCGAATCCACGTGACGGAGTGAGCTCCCGTCACTTGTCCCAGCTCCTGCCAACGTAACAGTTCGAAAGCATGTAAATGCAAGTAGATAAATAAGGCACCACCTTGGTGGGAAGGTAACAGCATTCCATGTCTAGTTGCGCTGACCACGTGACCACGGAAACTGTCTTCAGACCAACGCTGGCTCTATGGCTTGGAGACGGGGATGAGCACCGTGCCCTAGAGTCGGACACGACCGAACTAAATGTCAAGGGGAACCTTTGCCTTTACCTTATTATAATGAATTATCAAAACCATCTCCTTTCTGTCAGCTTTGAAATAAAGAAAATGAGTGTATCTAATGTCATGCAACACATACACACAAACAGGGATTGGGAGGCTCTGGGAGTTGAGGCCATGGCTCTGCCTGTCAAGTCCCTATATATCCCCAATGCAAAACAGACTGTAAAACCAAAGAGAGGGAGAGGAGGGAGAGGAGAAGAGGAAGGAAAAATGGAATAAATTGTTGTTGAAACTGGAAAGAAAAGGTATTAGTTTATCACAGAAGCAGCTTCACAACCACCAGGATGTTTTCCCTCACTACTACCACTGTAGCATAAATACACAGATTGTGCTGCAAACAGGCAAGTTAGACTAAGAAACTCTAAGTTTGGTTTTATTGGCAGCAAATTCTGATGTCTTGTGTGTTATATTTCCATAATATGATGAAATAATCTATTCCATATCTTACAAATTATCACTATTTCCATAGTAAACATTGACACCCAAATACTTCATACACATTTTAGATTAACCAAGATACTGTAAATGCCAATGACAACTCAGTGATGACCTACTAGAACAAAACGAATTTGGTATGTTTTCACCATGTTCAGAACCACATGAAGAAACTTCAGCATCGCCCAACTATCTCATTTCCAAATTGTAACTTTCTGATATACAGACGAGACAGTGTTTAGATAATATCCCTATGCAAAGGCAAACAAATAGAGGAGGGAAGAATGGATTGGTTGTCAATGGATTGGTTATCAATCAGTCCCTGTGTATATCATTTAGCCTTCATTCCCCTCCAACAAGGTCTCTTAAAAGTGAGTGCAATCAGTGTATTTCACCACGAACTTCAAAAAAGAAATCGTGTATTTCTGCTTCTACTTCTGTTAGCAGGACCCTGTCAAATTTCAGGCACCTAAAAGGAAGAATGGAAATGAAAGTGAGGGAGAAGATCAGGCAAGCACAGGGGCTTACTTGAATTTCCACCTTCCAAGTCAACTGTACTTCCTTGCACATGGGTCATAAACCTGCCATTTTTAATGACTCACTTCCTCATCCACTTATACTCACTCCCCCTCC